GATATATTGGCATCATTTAACAAAATACAATATGTACGACAAAGGTACAGTCTATATTTTGATATTTCACTATCATTACTTTGAATGCTCAAGCAAACATTTAGCTGGGTTAGTCTCATTAATTGGTAAGGAACTATGTTGTAGATTTTACATATAATTTATCGAAGTATATCAAGTTTGAAAAGCCTTAGTAATTTAGAAAAATTCTTTATTTTACCCTTAATTGTGAGTCCTGCAAGTTTGGGTTTTGATTCAGTTTGGTCTTGCGAACGTTATCAATAGTTTATGGACGTCGCCAACAAAACCACTTAAACTCAGATTATTGATCAGGTATGAACTCTAGGCAATGTTGAAAAAAAACCATCTGTAACCTTCCATTTGCTCACGCAAGTTCAAAAAAGTGGGAATATCACACTTAGGCGGACCATAATATTTGTATAAAGAGACACTGTTATGTACGTTTTCATCTTAATAGAAAAAGCTGTAAGGCCACCTGAGATGCATGTTTAAAGAGGAAAATAGTCAAAGAATAGTTTGGCCGACTCGAACTTAAAGCACTTTATCTCGAGATAAAACAACTAAAGGTCTTAAAATAACCGAGCTCTTAAAATAACTAAGGAGAATGTCCTACCTTTCTATAATATCAAGAACTAGATAAACATTCGAGTCTTCTCAGATAACGACAAATAAACCGTAGGTCCCGTCTCCTGCATCTATTAACTAGTTAATTTGGTTAGGCAGGGGGGCGTTAAAGAACCCACTTACAAGCTTACCGTGATGTGGTCTGGCATGTTTACAGGGAATTGGGGGTAGAGGACCTTTAAAGGGTTAACCTCGCGGTCCACCTTTACGTGTATCGTGTATTTGAATAAAGTAGTATTGATAACTTGTAATTAATGTTCTTGCGGTAATGGAAGGTTGCTCTTATATCAAAAGTCAACCCTCCGTAACATCACTGAAAGATCCACAAGTATGCTAACCATTCAACTCCGCAGAATGGTAAACGCATATGTAGCTCAAACAAACTGCACACATTAAAGATTCGTCAACTTTCGACGCTGCAAATATTTATAACACCTTTATTTGCATAGAGTTGGAAGATCAAAAGAGTAAATAGGGTGTCAGCAGGGAAGAACTTAATCTTCATATAAATAAAACCTTGCTTCGCCTGCACGAGCCAAATTCCACTCTTTCCATTCTTGTGTCTCCTTTCGCCTCAGTTGCTTAATAAAGCAGTTGAAAAGGCGTTCTCCCGTTTGTATCTGATAACAAACCTCCGAGCTTTCTGCCTAAGAAGGAGAATACTTCAGAACAAACCTTTTTGCGACGGAAAATTCTTTGACTGATTGAAATTAAAGATACGCGGCAACAAATTCCGAACGTTTCTTCTTTCGCCGCATCAGATAATAGGCAATCGAAGCGATTCACAGTATAAGGTTTGTGCGTAAACTCGGTAGTAGATCGATCTCACTTTGCCCAGAGTCTATTCACTCAGAAGCCTGCCAAAATAGTCAATTTTTCTGCGGCAATCGAGGTTGAAGGCAACAACGAAGAACAGCGGAGACTAATACCAACTCGAAGGACAAAAAAATATATAATTTTTATGGATACTGCCTCCTATAGGAGGCAAAGCTACATATGTTGTCGACATTAGGGACTGTAACAACAGAAAA